GAGAGAGAGAGAGAGAGAGAGAGAGAGAGAGAGAGAGAGAGAGAGAGATCTTCTTCTTCTTCTTCTTCTCCCTCGCTTCTTCTTCTTCTTCTTCTTCTTCTTCTTCTTCTTCTTCTTCTTCGTCTTTCACTTCTTCCTCTTCGTCTTCTTCTTCGTCTTCAAATTCTTGGTCTTCCTCCTCCTCTTCGTCCTCTCCTCCTTCGCTTCTTCCTCTTCGTTTTCTTCTTCGTCTTCAAATTCTTGGTCTTCCTCCTCCTCTTCGTCCTCTCCTCCGTCGCTTCTTCTTCTTCTTCTTCTTCTTCTTCTTCTTCTTCTTCTTCTTCTTCTTCTTCTCCTCCTCCTCCTCCTCCTCCTCTTCCTCTTCTTCTTCTTCTTCTTCTTCTTCTTCTTCTTCTTCTTCTTCTTCTTCTTCTTCTTCTCCTCCTCCTCCTCCTCTTCCTCTTCCTCTTCTTCTTCTTCTTCGTCTTCTTCTGCTTCTTCGTCTTCTTCTGCTTCTTCTTCTGCTTCTTCTTTTTATTGCCCCCCCTCTGCCCGCCATCGACGACCACCAGACCCCAAGGGCCCCCCCCCGCGAGACCCCCCGCTGACATCCCGCCCACAGCATCCCCCTCCACCCCCCCAACCAAACCCCCAGTTCAGTTTTTTATTGCGGATTCGGGGTCCTCTAGTGCAGTGCAGCACAGCCCCACCATCAGGAAAAAAAAAAATAAAAAATCCTGGCCCTGTTTTTGCGTCGCCCGGTTCACCCGGGCGGACCCCCCCGGGCCCAACCGGCCGGGGTCCGCCCGGCCGGGCACGCCCAGCCGGGTGCCGGTGCAGCCGCATCAATTGTGCGTGCGTGCATGAGATGCGCCGCAACTCTCTCTCTCTCTCTCTCTCTCTCTCTCTCTCTCTCTCTCTCTCACACACACACACACACACACACACACACACACAAAGGGGCTCCGAAAGGGGGTCGGACCCGACAGGTGAGTGCGCTGGGGGGGGCCGCCCCCAACCGGGTGCCCTCCCCCGGGCCCCTGCCGGTCACCCGGGCGGCCCGGATCCCCACTCAGATCAATATAGCGTATAATTTTTTTGAGAGATCAATATAGCATAGTTTTTTTTTTTTTAAGATTAAAAAAAAGAACTAAACAACGACAGAGAAAACAATTAGCGAGTATATAAACATATAAACTTTTTTATTATAAAGATAAAGCATATAGAGATGGGATCAAGATCTGGGGAAAACCCGAGGGTACGAAGGGTAGAACGATATGGACAATGGTAGACAGACTGACAACGTACGTAGGGATAGTAGGCAGGGGAAACACATGGGCTCGGTGACAACGGCAAGGATAGTCTGAATTTCTTTTCTGTCTAATCTCCCCCGTTGCATGTTCAAACAAACACATGCTTGCCGGTGATACAACCGGACTGACGCTGCCCAGAATACAAGGCGCTGTGCTGTTTCTTAAAAAGAAGAAAGAAAAAGAAAAAACAAAAGATTACTGACCTTGTCCGCTGAAGTTTTGAGTGCTGACCGTGTGTATGCTTGCTGAAAACCACATTTGATGAAGACAGTGCGATCACCGCTGCATATGTTCCACGCCAGCAGAGTGGGCGTCAAACGCAGGAATGAGTTGGACACTGACAAAAGAACAAACGGTGCTTCGGGAGGTATGTCGAAAGGGACGAGCTGTGTGACCTGCCCAAACCTGCCATCGCCACTTCATAATGAAAAAGCTTTGCTCCATTCCTTGACGATTCCGGTTCTCTCCTATTCCGTTCCTTCCGAGACGCTGCTCACAAGAGGGGGCCAGTCATTCGCCACCCCTCTGACATATTACAAGGTTGCGAGTTTGCTGCCACAAAGTGACACTGCCCTCCTTCGGTGTTGCACGCAGACTCCTTTCGCCATGAAAGGATGAGAAAAAGGAGATGAAGAGTCAATAGCATCTCTGCCAGTGAATGCAGAAATGATCCCGTGCGTGCGTGCAGGGCTCTCACTCAAGGAGGAAATGAACGAAAGACGGCAACCCTGCTGATCTTTAAAATCCAGCTAATACCCAATGACTTTGCCTCATTGATGCATATGGAGGTGCTGACCAAACACCTGCTGCTGGAACACACACACACACACACACACACACACACACACACACACACACACACACACACACACACACACACAGAGAAACAAACACACCAACAGAAAACAAAAACAAGCCAAGCCTTCGAACTGCAGAAGCCAGCAGGCAAAATCTATATTGTCTAGTGCCTGTACTTGCCGCACAACAGCATCGGCAATCCCGTCCAGCCATGATGCCAGATACAACTCGCGTAGAAGACCATGGCTTAGGGAAACTAGCAGCACTGCAGAATTGTTGATGTGCGAACTTTGTTGAGGTGCCTGGCCGCTGCAAGACGAATACTCAACTGGGCCTTCAGGGCTCCAACTCCGAAGTCCGCACCTTCTTCCTCACCCCGATTGAGAAAGAACTGGCTGCGTGCAATACAGACTTCGATGGCCGCCAATACCCGACATTGCTCTGGCAGCTCTGGGACCAAGCTGATGACAGTCGTTGCTGTATCCAGCGCTGTTCATGTGATCCTCGTTGAGCTGCAGTTTCAAGAGCATCGGGCTCGCCTCACCCTCCCGCCCGCGAGCATTCGCCGTTTCCAGAGACCTTTTCCTGGACCCTCCCTCAAGGCTCCCGACCCTTCTCACGTCCACTCCATCTGCTGGAGCAGCATGGGCGCCTGCTCCCAAATGCTCTCCGTTGACATCCCTGACATACTTCCTCTCTGCACCGGACAGCTCCACAGTCCTGTCTTCGCAAGACGGCCTCAGATGCTGTTCTGCAGTGGGCTCCTGTTCACGCGCCTGCCGAGTCGCGCCCAGGCCAACGCCCATGCTGAGAGGAGTGCTTTCCACCTCGATTTCGGGCTGAGATGACGGGTGCTGCGGACTTTCTCGCTGAGATGGTCGACACAGGCTCACTTGCCCAATGGCTGTTGCCGTCAACCCATGAGCAGGCTTACATGGGAAAAACTGGTGCTGATGCAGCATCGGCGATGGCTGCGTAGACAGCCCTGCTTGAGTCTGAAGAGATGACGCGTGCAAGCCAAAATGTGAGCGCTGCTGACTCACACCAGCTGCAGCTAAGCTAGCCACTGGAGTGCCGAATCCCCCAGCTGCTGTTCCCGCTCCCGCAGCCGCTGCCGCTGCAGCCGCTGCTGCTGCCACCGCTGCAGTATCATATACTCCTGCCGGTGTTGTTGCCACAATGGGAGGTTGCTGCGCAAGAGTTGGAGAAGACCCGTAGTCTGGAAGGTAGAAACTTCCCAGAACAAAAACCTGAGGAGGGTGAGGTAGGGAAATGTTCTGCGGAGGGCTCGGACGTCGTGTATGAAGACGGTACTTCTGCAGAATCAAAAAGAGATCTCTTCCATTAGAAACAACATCATCATCGTCATAATAATAATAATAATAATAATAACAGCAGAGAACATGGGAAACCTAATATTCTTACCATGCGCAGCCTTGTGAACACTTTACCTCCCCAACCAAAAGGAGGAGGAAGAATCTAATAGGCCGACATGGACACAGGAAGAAAGAATGCGGAAAGGATGAGAAGACTGACAGAGGTCCCAACCAAAGCCTTTCCCACTTGTTTTTGGTTTGAATGATTGCAAATATAGGTTGTACATTTAGGTCTTAATCTGTTTTTAACTTTTTGTGCTTGCTTTGGTTGGTGCTCTCCCACCGCCAAGCTGAACAGCCAGGTACAGCACCCATATTCTTCTCTAGAATTGCCTAGATCATAGCCTTCGTCTGCCGAGTGGTCCGCGAACCTGTATTGGGTCTTGATACTAGGGTTTTTTTGGTTATCTGGAGCCTCTGACCGCTGAGCTGTCCGGGAAACCTCGTGCATTTTTTTATATTAGAATTTAGAATTAAAATTTTTGGCAAAGTTCAGGTCGTTGAAATTTTGTGAACTTGCCCGGCACCTCTCTTGGGCCCAGCAGACCAAGCCTCTCCGCATCCTCTGCGTTGACGGGATCGACTTCAGAAGGCCTCCGAGAGACTGGTGGTTCAATGGGGGGTCTTCGATCCTCGGCGGTCATACATCAGGCACAAACCTTGTGGGTCACAAGTTGTGCACCAATTTTATTCAAAAGCATGATGGACTGGGTTTCCAGCGTGCGCGCTTGTCCAAAAGCCGCCACAAACATAGAGATACCCACCTGCAAAACACAAGTTCCGCACGTTCCTGTCTCTCTCTTCTGAATGTTACCTGTATTTGGACTGAAATTTCTGGGATCTCTGAGATTTCCATGAGAACGACTTCTCTGCAATAGCTTAGGTTCATTCCATGAGAGCTGTTTGAACAGCCCGAGTGATAGTACTCGTCCGCGTGGTTGAGCTTTCATGTGGGCCTTGAAGAGGGGCTTCATGCAAAATTCCTAGGCTACCAGAGTGGCCCGGGACCACTTGCGCAGCCGGGCCAAAAGAAAATAAAAATAATAAAACTAAAAAATTTACACATATAAGTTGATATAATTGTAATGACCCGCCAAAACACAGACTGAGATCACTGCTGATTTCTGGGATTTGCCACTGGAATGAATGCCTTGTTGAGATTCCCGCATTCTGCTGTGGTTTCCAAGTCTGTGTATGTGTGCGTGCCTGCTGGTTTGCGTGCCTGTCTGAGTGCTTGTCGGCTGAGTGCGTGTGTGACCCGCAAGGGTACTTGTTGGTTGAAAGGCCTCCCAGGGCCTACCCCCGCCACTTGAGTGTTTTCCCCGCTGCAACCCTCAAAGTCACGGCCACAGGTGACCCGCCAAAACACAGACTGAGAACACTGCTGATTTCTGTGAATGACTTGCTGAGATTCCCGCATTCTGCTGTGGTTTCCAAGTCTGTGTGTGTGTGCGTGCCTGCTGGTTTGCATGCCTGTCTGAGTGCTTGTCGGCTGAGTATGTGTGTGACCCGCACGGGTGCTTGTTGGTTGAAAGGCCCCGCAGGGCCGGTACTTACCTGTGGCCGTGACTTTGAGGGTTGCAGCAGGGAAAACACTCTAGTAGCGGGGGTAGGCCCACGACACTTGAGAGCAGTGGGAAAAACACTGAAGTAGCAGGTAGGTCGGTACTACTCAAGTAGTGGTCGAAGTGTCGCGGTACTGGAGGCCGAGCAGAAGAAGACAAAAAGTTGGCATTTTTAGAGGCCCAGTAGCGGTAGGTTAGAGGTAGGCCGGCACCAGTCACAGTAGCCCAAGTCTAGGGCCTCTCCGGATGATAGCAGAGCCTGCAATGATGTTATCCTCCGAAAGGGAGGAGGTACCAGTTGCTGGGAGGCCGCTCGGCCTAGGAACTCACCGCCCAAGAGGCCAGTAGGCTGCTATATCTTCCGGAGGAGCAAGCAGCTCCGCCTCATTTGCGGTATGCAAGGATTGGCGACATGCTGCTGGAGCCAAGCGCTGGACTTGGGCAGCGCTGCCTGGAGGTGACGAGCAGCTATGGCGAACAGCCCAGCCTGAGGAGGAGGAAGAAGGGGGCGAAGGAGGAGAGTGGCGAGGTACCTACCTGGCTATGGTGGACACCATCTTCATCACCTTGTTGGGCGCTGCATCTGGAAGGCCCCAGTTGGGGTAGTGCCCCACCAAGGAAGCTCGAGGCAGAGTCAGGCATGGCGACTTAGTCAGCAGCGGCATAGCTGCTTTGGGTTGTTCTTCGGACAGGAGTGCAGTGGCTATCTGCTTTGCGTTGTCCTTTGCACAGAAGGGCAGGGCCCTCAGTAGTCCGCCATAGCCTAGGCATGTGAGAGGTGGAAGAAAGGGGGGAAGCCATAGCTATGGTGGACCTGTTGTTGTGTCAGCAGTAAGAGGGAACTTCGGATATTGATTCTGGTTCATCCACTCAATGTTATTATTATTATTGGAAGAAGAAGAATAAGATTGGCGAAGTGAAGGAGGAGGAAGGTGGAGAGAAATGGGGGATTTGTCATTGGTCTTGGTGGTGTACATCTTCTTCTTCTTCTTCTTCTTCTTCTTCTTCATCTTTCTCTCTTCTTTGGTGCGAGGCCACTGCCTCTATGAGCCCATTCCAGGCTCGACAAGGCCTTCAGGGCCCCATTTTGGTCACTGCGCAGCTAAGGAAATTCAGGCAGTTGCGCAGCGTAAGTTGGTTGAGAGGACCCAGGCCCTGGGCCGCCTGTGTGAATGTATGGAAATCAGGCCCTGGGCTGGATACGGGTACTGGGCCAAACACAGGCCAAGGCAGTTGGGTACATGCAACCACCTCAGGCCCAAGGCCTGTGCTCGTTCGTGCTGGGCCTCAGGCTACCGGGGCCTACTGGAAGCTTCCTGGGACTGGATGCAGGCAGGCCACTTCGATATAGCAAAGGGCCTGCCTCCTCATTCGGCATTCGGGTGCTGGCTGGACGCTGCGCAAGCGCTGCTGCGCTATTTGCTGGCTGGCGCCTACGCGCTCACGGGCACGCAGGGAAGGACCAGGCAGCCATAGCCGAGCTGCGCTGCTGTGAGCTGGGTGTGGCGCAGGGTGGTCCTTGGGTGCAAGTGGCATCTGTGTGTTGGGGAACGAGGTTGTGAGTGTAGCGAGAGACATACCTGGTGCTGGAAGCGTGCGACATTGGTCGCTGTATGCTCGTACTTCGGGAGAGCTGTTGTCGTCAACTTCCGCATTGTAGTATAGGCTAGATAGGATCTGCCACATGTAGTCTAGGCGCCGAGCGCCAGATAGGATATCAACTCTGGTTCTTCGTTGATGATGATGAAGGGACTATTTCAGCATTGTCAATTATGAACTCTTGGTGTGTTCTTATTTGGTGAATCTCGTGATGCAATTCTGCTGTTGGTTCGAGGTCACAACTATCTGGACTCATATGTATGATGCTGTTTGATTGCTGAAGTTCGTTATTGCTCTATCTCTTTGCAAGTCCTTTCATTTCTTTCGCAATTGGGTGGCATTGTCTTTCATTGTGAATTTGCACTTTGGGAATGACCAGGATCATAACATAATATAATATAATATATTTCATATTTTTTAACCTGGTTTTTTACTTTAAATTTGGTAAAGAATGTCGATGTGACCCCGAGGCAAAACGTGTTCAGTTTATTTTTCTGCACAACATCATTTTTCGTCACATTTTTGGGATTTTTTTTTTTTTTTTTTTTGGCTGGGACCTTCTTTGGTCCTTGCATGCCCAGGCTGTCGGGGCACATGAGCCGGGCAGCCTGGCTGGTAGCCCAGCAAAGTCCTGAGTTTTCAGGGGCATTCTTGGTAAAGAATTTCGATGTGACGCCGAGGCAAAAGTTGTTCAGTTTATTTTTCTGCACAACATCATTTTTCGTCACATTTTTGGGATTTTTTTTTTTTTTTTGGCTGGGACCTTCTTTGGTCCTTGCATGACCAGGCTGCCAGGGCACACAACATGAGCCGGGCAGCCTGGCTGGTAGCTCAGCAAAGTCCTGAGTTTTCAGGGGCATTCTTGATAAGTTGGCTGTGATCAGAATTTTGAAGCCCCAATCTGGTGTCAGAAACAGAACGCCCCATGGCTGAGACTGTGTTTGAACTCCATGGGGGCATTTGTCGGTAAGGTGTACTTTAGACAGATGACTGAAACGTAGTCAAGCGAAAGAGCAGACCGGGGCACACAGCATGAGCCGGGCAGCCTGGTTGGTAGCCCAGCAAAGTCCTGAGTTTTCAGGGGCATTCTTGATAAGTTGGCTGTGATCAGATTTTGAAGCCCCAATCTGGTGTCAGAAACAGAACGCCCCATGGCTGAGACTGTGTTTGAACTCCATGGGGGCATTTGTCGGTAAGGTGTACTTTAGACAGACGACTGAAACGTAGTCAAGCGAAAGAGCAGACGGCCAAACCTCCACAAAACAGGTACATGAAATGTGAATCCTTCGTAGACCGGAGGGGAATTTATCCCTCCCTAAGACAGAATGGCCTACTATCATCTTTCCCCAAACACAATTCACAAATTTTGGCTGTGCCAGTCCAGAAATATAGCTTGTAGTAGCCTTGTATACATTCCTTTTCAGGGTGCGTTGTGTCCGGGGGAAGACGGTAGTCCATTCAAGTACATCATTAGAGGGAGAGGATACTTCCCCATAGTCAGTACGTTGCTCCACCCTGAGGGCAAGCAGCCAAATAGCCAGGGGAGAAGGACGGAGCATGGATATTGGGGGGATGGCCTCCACCGCCCATGGGCATGAATTAGGAGGGGGTCAAGAGGAAGGGTTTGCAGTGGGTATGGGCCTGACGACGAGGATTCAAATTTTGGCTATAACAGATCTCCTCACGTATTCTTTCCCTGAGTGATGTGACGACTCTCTCAACATAGTGCTACTAGGAGAGAGGAGGAGGTACTGTTCCTGTGGGACTCCATTCTCAAAAGAGCATTGGCTAGGGCAATCAGTCTGACACCCAATTCATGGTTCAATCGCGCAGTTGTTTGAGGGCAAAGGTATCGAGGTGAGCCAAGGAACAGTTGACATTGAGAGTGTTGTTTTCATCTCTCTCTCTCTCTCTCTCGCGCGCGCGCGCGCGCGCTCGTCTTCGTGCTGCGATCCGTGCACTTGCCTTCAACTATATTCAACTATAGGTGGGCATCTAGATCTGTACGAAGGTCATAGCTTACCTGTAGGTGACTCTTAACCTCGTCATTAGTGAGTCCTTCCACCTTCATCAACTCCCGGATCTGCTTTGGGGTTGCCACTGCAGAACAACGTGAAGATAGAAAAAACATGCAATCAATACACAACACTAAGGAAGCATTGTTGCCACCGAGAATGCATCGCAATCATGCTTGAAAGAGACCTAAACCGGAGATGATCCGCGCCTTTCACGTACATACGGGCGCACATTTTGAATGAACGTAGTGAAGTGGAGAGAGAGACACAAAAGTGAAAAAGATGAACGAAAGAGAAACAATATCCCAGTATGACAACAGACAAAAACCAACAGATGTCACTTTGTGAGCCGGAACTCGGGGGGACCAGTGGTTTAATGCAGAGCAACTTGCAGTTGTGCTCAGCGACAAAAGTCACTTGTGGCTCGATATGAAGTGACCACTACCAACCAGAAGACAGCACCCCAACCAGACGAAAGCACCTTCAACCATGTGAAGAAGGATGGACACAGAGAGAAATTATAACCACCCACATTCAGCAGGGCTCCTGTGTATTTTCAATTCAGCAAGAGATGGGACTGCACGTGCATTCACCGGGAGATGGACTGCACATCCATTCAGCAGGCAGGCATGACCACAACTGGATCTGGCAGCACCTTGAACCCATGTGAAGAAGGATAGACAGAGAGAGAAATGATCACCGCCCACATTCAGCAGGGCTCCTGCGTATTTGCAATTCAGCAAGAGATGGGATTGCACGTGCATTCACGGGGAGATGGACTGCACATTCATTCAGCAGGCAGGCATGACCACAACTGGATCTGGCAGTAGCGGCGTAGAGACCATAAGGTGAATAGACTAAGGAGTGGTGTTTTCTGCCAAAGAATGACAACTGTCCGTCTGTCTCATACCTTGTGGTCCTCCAAGTATGGTCAAGGCATCAACAAATCTGCGGTGCAGCTCAGGAGACCAGCATCTCCGTGCCTTACGATGCCCTCCTCCACTGGACCCGTTAAATGAGGTCGTCAACATGGTCCCAGGGGCGGTACGCATGGCATCAGGCGAGGCCTGCAAGGCCGTGTTTGTGGCATCAGATTCCCTACCTCCACTGTTATCAGAAGATTCTGACCCACCAGATTCAGCGCCCTCGTTGCCATTGGCATCACCTCCCCCCTCCCCATTCACGGTCCTGCCTTTGCTTCCCTCCCTGCTGGGATCACGCACAACCATATCCTCTTCCTTCTTCTGGATGTTCCCAGCAACAGTCATGGGCGTCTCTAACCTGTCCTCGTTTGGTGCTGATTCAGCCGTCAGCAGCCTGTGTGTTCTATCGACTTGCATCATCTCCATGTCAGCATGTTCACCGTGGTCAGTACCTTTGAATGTCTCCATCTGCATTCCTCGGTGGCGTGGCTCCGGCACAGTTCCAGGAGCTAGACCGAGGACCAGTTCTATGCAAGCAGGAACAGGAAGTGATGCACTCTGGATTGTCGACGCGCCTTTCTCGGTGCCAACGCCTGTTGACGCTTTGTTATCCCGATTGGGCACGAATGGCAGAAACGCACCGCCTGGTCTTTCCCTGCCCGGTTGCAGGAAACTAATGTCATTTCCCGCCGTTTGCATGCTGTGGTTCTCGTTTCCACCCTTGATGCTCGTCAAGGCCAAATGGGGCTGAAGATGCTGGCAGCGCCCTGATCCCAGCTCATCTTTCTGTTCCACTGGTTCGTGAAGCCAAGATTGCCTCACGCCATGGTGATATCCCTCAGCGTGGCCCTTTTCATTATGCTCCTTGCTGGCATTCTGCTCGACCAGGTGTTGTTCCCTTGGGACTCCCCTCCACAGCCACGATGGTTTAGCGTTATCACCGTCCTCTGCAGCGGCTTTCCCCTCTAATCGACATCCATGCCTGCGATCATGCTTCTCACTTGCTTGAAGGTTGTCAAATTTGTCGTTCCCATCCACGAGCTGTGAATCGCAGGCAAGTGTCAGCATTCCCAGAGGCTTCTCCATACAGTTCGATAATGGAAACCGAGCCTGCACATGCCTCACACAACAGAAGCCCACAATTAACAAAGGCATAATCCTTGTGTACCTGTTGGCTCAAACAACAAACTTCACATATAGTTACAAGTATGGCAGTGGATTGAACATTGTTCCCTATGACTTCGTGAAAGTGCTTAACAATCGTTCACCATCATGCCTTTTCGTCGGAGCTCAGCAAACAAACAAACAAACAAGTCCTGTTGGTATTTGCCATCTTGCCTCACTCCCTACCTTCATGCCTGCCTGCCAGTCCCCCAGCTTGCTGATGTTTACCTTCGTGCTTTCATTGGTCTGCCTGCCTCCTTGCGACTGGGCTCCTCAAAGCACAATCAGGGATTCTGTCGAGGGTTCAGCCTCTCCTGATGAGTCACTGAGAGAGAGTCCTATGCAGCCAAACTGTCACCAACTCATTTTACCCTCGTCATTGTGTGGTTTAGAGCGGTCTTCCTTACAGCACACCCACAGTCTGCATGCTGTCTTCTAGCCCACCAACCCACCCCTATAACGGACCATCTTCCGACGTACCACTTCCTCTCCTGTCTTCACTTGGCTTGCCCACCTACCATCGCTTCTGCCTTTATCCAACATGTATCATCTTCCAGACAATATCAACAGTCATTCCAAAAAAAATACTTTCGTCCATCATGGTGCATGCATCAGCCCCCCATATATGACCAGTAACCCCCCATTCCCAACCCCCCACACACAAAGCAACCAGAAAAACAAAACACAAAGAACGGCTGAGCATGGCAAAAGGAAACGAGCCAATCACACGAGGAGCAAGGATGTTCAGCATCGGCCGCCATTCGGCAACCTGCAGCAATCAGCCAGTACGCTACACAAGATGTGCTGAGGGTCACTCCTGGCAGGCGCTACGTTGGCGCAACTTCAAAAATCCACCCTCTAACGACCCATTTCAAGAGCATTCCTGCTGCAAAGGTAAAAATACCCCACGACTCCATAGACTCGTTTTCTAATGCCCTCCAGTGGCGCACACGTAGAGAGCCACACCAGTAACTAGCTGAGGTATTTTGACCAAGAGGCTGCCTTTTTGCCACTCGGCAGACTTCGCTCTCGCACGAGCCACTCTCTGAAGCCCCACCCACATGCTTCGCAAAACAGAAGGGCCGGATTGGGTCCATCAGCCGGAAAGGTGGTTTCTGTACCTGCAAAGCAAAGGCGGATTCCATGACAAGGAAATTATACGCCTATACATGTCTTCATTTCTCCCTTTCATTGACAAAGAGCCTTTAAGCAAGTGTGTCGTGCGAATGATCGTACAGGAGACAAGTCGAACAGTGAGGAACGCATTTACACACCTTGCATCTCTCGGTTTCAGCTTGTGTCTCATCATGCATTGGTTGCTCTGTTCTCCTTTTCTTGAAAAGTTCGGGACAGTCCCTCTCCCCTTGAGCAGGGGACAAATGAACAGGGTTAACACCAATGCCGGCATCCCCAGAGGTACTGCTGTCATCCCAAACGGCGCCTCCATTGGACGGCACAACAGACTCCTCAGGTTCTATTGGTTGTCTGCGGCTACTGTCCATGTGGTTTTCCAGAAGACTAGATTTCCCATGGACCTTCAACAGCCTCTTCACCTCAATCTTCTCCCTCATCGATTCTATTTCTGTAATTGCGCATTCAGATGGCCCCAAAATGCCCACATGTTAACGACCTCCACACCACCACTCATCACGCACCAACGACAGACAAAAACAGAAAATCACAACCTCCCATCCCAGCACATTCCCAGGCCCCAACCCCCTCCACTCCTCCCAATTTCCATGTGTAACCAACACATACCCACAAGTTTGATTCCTTCACAGCATATTTGAAGACGCCACGTACCGCATTGTCAAACCAAGTCCACACCTCAACTTTCAAACCCATGAAGGGATTTCCCAGTTCCATGGTACACATTGAAACAACCAGACACAAGCCAAAACAAAGCCGACTCAGAGCATTTTCGAGGCTCATTACGAGCTCTCTCCCTCTCTCTCTCTCTCTCTCTCTCTCTCTCTCTCTCAATGGTATCGTTGTAGTGCTCAGCTCAGTTACTTCGAACTGCGAAGCGCTTTGCATTTGGTATTCATCATCTCTCTAATGGTGTTGTTGAAGAGCTCGTCTCGATCACCTTGGATTGCAAATCGTGTCTATTTTTCAATCAATGCTATGATTTCGTTTGGGATTTTTTCTCATTCAAATTGATCCAATGTTTTTCCAATCATTTTAAATCTGAAAAACGACGTAAGAGTTTGCTTATTGTTCATCCAATGCTTTTGAAGTTTTCAAGCTCTGTTTTCGTTCAATATTTTTGGAGCTTTTTCATTCAATGCTTTTGAAGCTTTTCTTTAATGATTTCGGGCTCGATTTTCGTCCCCCTATTTCAGCGCATCATTCCCTCCCCCTTGTTCAGAACCTTCCTCTCCCTTTTTTCGAACCTCCCTCCCATTTCTTCCAAACCTCCCTCCGCTTCTTGCCACCCTCCCGCCTCTCCAAACCTCCCTTCTTCCATGCAGAGTTCCCTTCCCCCTTCTTTCGGCCCTCCCTCGCCCTTCTTCTGAACTTCCCCCCCCCCCAACTTCTTGATCTCGCCGCACTACTTCCAAACCTATCCCCCCTCCTCCCGACTTCCTAATCTGCTACTTTTGAACCCCTCCCTTTCCCGAACCCGTCCCCCGATACTTCCAAACCTGTTTCACTTCCATCCTCCTCCCCCACTTCACGCCCCTCCCCTTTTTTCAAACGTCTTCCCCGCTACTTCCAAACCTATCACTTGTTTCACTCCCCTCCTCCTCCCTGCTTCGTGCTGTGCCCCCTGCCCTCGTTTTCCAAACCTGCCCGCATCTACTTCCAAACCTATCGCGTGCAACTTCCAAACCTGTTACACTCCCTTCCTCCGCCCCTATTCCGCAATATGCCCCTTCCCCTTTTTCAAAGCTGCCCCCCTGCTACTTCCAAGCCTGTCTCAACCTATGTCCCCTCCTCCAAACCACTATCACCCGCCCATCCTTCTCATTCCTCTCCCCCTTGTACTGCCTAATCTGCTGTTGCCTCCTGTCCCAGGCGTGCCTTTCATTCCTCTCTCCCTCCTGTCCCAGACATGTTTCACCCTTGCAGAAAGGCAGGGAAGGAGGAAGGAGATGGTGGATTGAGGAGGGCAGGATTCTCATGTTCTCATACAATCCTGTGGCTTTCCTGCTTTTTTTCATTGCACAGGATGGGCAATGCAGAGGTGGGAGTTTGCAGACATTGGTCCAATTGCTAACAGAGGGAGTTGAAGATGGGAGTGCACCGAACATGCACACGAGGCCCTCTTGGGCAATGCAGAGGTGGGAGTTTGCAGACATTGGTCTGATTGCGAACAGAGGGAGTTGAAGATGGGAGTGCACCGAACATGCACACGAGGCCCTCTTTGGCGATCCACACCAAAGAGAGCCTCATAGCCAAAAAAAAAAAAAAAAAAAAAAAAGCAGATGGGAAACGGTAACCGACTTGGGAATGATTCTTGTAGATCTAGCAGCCATTTTGCCGAGAAGTGTGGTTTATAGTCAGCTGTACAACTTCCTGGTGACAGAACACCGGACTCCTGGTCCCCAGATCACAAAGAGCTGTGGTGAATGCTACTACCATACATCTTCTGAAAACGAAAAAAAACACGACTGAGTCATCATGATTATGATCGGTTAAGTAATTTGCAGGGATTATTTCGCAACCCAAAAATTGGGCCTCCATATTAAAGATATCTGCAAGGCTGGAACTTTAACAGGCATCGATAATCCTGACAGACAGCACAGAACAGGGCTCCACCCCTCAATTCAGTGTTCACTAACCAACACTCGACGAGTAGTATACAATGGTAAGGACCGTGGCTCCATGGTGAACGTACCACTCACAGCCAATAGGTAATACTTATCAGTTGCAAACCTGTCCTTGCCTTATCTCTGGTCTTAGGGGTGATTGGGGGTTGGGGGGGTTGGGGGGGGGGAAGGTAAGAAGGTTTGACATCAGTCTACCAGATATACCTGCAAGGAGACAGGCCATGTTCAGAGAGTCCACCTACAATCGAATCATCCACAACTGTTACCCCACAACACAGTAAGATCGACGAACCTTTATCAAGTAGGTCCCTACAATGAGGCAGCATTTCCATGAAACCTTCAATCCTCCGGCGCTCTGCCTCAAGTGCGCACAACCGTTCCTCTAGTCTGGAACCGGTCTCCTCATGGCAGACTTTCCCAGCCTCCACCCCCGCTCCTCTCTCCCTCTGATTGGTCACTGCTGCTCCTGCAGCACGTGATGTTACTTCGTCCAAAGCACTACCACTTAGCCCACCTGAATGCCTGGCATCCGAAGGCATCTTCACAGAGTTTGCTGCACCAACTGAACACATATGCTATCCCCCAAAGCATCAGCCTGAGCCCCGTTTTGCTAAACGTTATTCCCGCGCCTGCACAGTCACATTGCATCGCATGAAACAGCCCACACACAACATCACAGCACCAGCATTAGCACCATCTAGTACACACACGACACGATGAAAGGGAAAATGCAACCACTACAAACAGAACATAATAAAGTGTGGTACTAGAAACCCAACTGCGGCACAACCTACTCCTCAGGACGTAGCCAAAAGGATGCTACTCCGTCTATCGTGAATCTGGCAAGGTCATCAGGGCGCGGATGCTCAGCTGGGCACCCAGGCCCAACCGGTCCAGACCCACAAAAGGCAACAAAAGAGGCTAAGGTTTTATTTTTCAAACATTCGTGACCGGGCATTCCTATACTCACTGACATGTGCCCAAATCCGACCTTAACTTTGAATTTGGTGACGCACTTTTCTTCCAGACTTTGCAGATTTCCGTTTTAGTTTTGTCAAAGTCTCCCAGAGACCTTGCCCAGCCCTGGGCCAGCCAGTCAAACCAGACAACCCGAGGCCACTTGTTATGTTACACATCTCTGGCCACATTCTACCTCTGCCCGGAATATGATCGTTATGTAATGACCACATTCGACTCACTTCAAAGGCACCATCATATAAACTTAGATGACATGTTCCCTTCGCCTGCAAAAGAAGAACATGCAAAAACAAAAAAGAAAAGTAAGTACAAAAATAAATGAAAGGTGCATGCCAACGATGCACATCAATCCCTATACGCCGGCACATTGTGTGACCCTCCTTCCAGGGATGCAGGACGTCCGCACCTCTGTTCTTCACAGAGTTTGGCCCCCTCTCTTCCCTCTTGTCCTGTGCATGCTCCGCTTCTTGATCTTTTCCCTCACGAAAACAACAGACCAAGAAAGGCCCTCTTTCGTCCCACATCCCAGTATAATGGGATGAAACGGTAAGGACCAACCTACATATACCATCGTTCTTCCCTTCACCTTCCTCCCGTCTCCGCTACTTACGACCACCAGTACACCCGGGCCTCGGGGCATAGCACTAAGTGCCAAGCTTTCCTAAACCGCCAGTGGCGCACTTCTTTCCTTTTTTGGCTGATGCCACCAGCCATTGTGGTCCGGTAGGCCCGAGCCGCAAAATTTTCGACGTACCCGATGAACAAATTTCTACAAGGCTGGGGCCGTGTATTGGCGTCTTAACCTCCCCATTCATACTGCTATTCCTAATGTACATGGTCATTCCAACCCAAAATCTTTCTCTAACACCATTACGCTTCTCCGCAACATCGCCCTCTGTCTATATCAATGAAGAGGACTCCACAATGAAGGCGGTGATGAAAGTGGGGAAAACTGGGCAATAAAGCAAGGCAACAGGCAAAAGATTCTCTCTCTCTCTCTCTCTCTCTCTCTCTCTCTCCCCCCCCCCCCCCCTCCCTCTCTGTCTCCCTCTCTCTCACACACGTGCTCACACGCTTCCCAACCACTCCCCTCCCTTACCTCCCACCATCCAACCTTGCTCCATGCCTTGGGTACCTCTCATCTTCAGCTCGCCTCTCTCCTACCTCATCCCTTGCAACAGACCGTTCTTTACAATACACGGCTTCTCAACAGGCCAAGTAACTGGTGTGGGATGCAGTGTTTCCACCGAGTAGATCGTCAAATGCAAAATAAAGTCAGGAGCTTGCAGAACGCAGTGCTGAAGCAACCTGATTCACCATATAAGTGACAGAAAGCCCAGTCTCAGTGGCCACTACGTTCTCATCCATGCCCTTAATATAGATGCGCAGGAGAAGCAAGGGGGAAGGGGGGAAGAAACCAGAAGGGACCAAAACCGGAAGGGCCACTACGATGTCATTGGCATGCCACATATCAAGCATTCAAAATGCCCGGGGTTGAAGCAACCGTGTTAGATTGATACAATATCACTCTGGCTGGCCACCCCATAAGAGAGAGGCATGCAGCTCTGCCTCTTGAGTGTACACGAAGCCTGGCCACAACGGATTTACCGCACAATCTTCAGCGATCGTCCACAGACTCCACACAGTATTCTGTGGCAGTCAACATACAGTCAGAACCGTACTTCAGAGGGCACTTGTGCACAGCATGAATGCACACGGGCCCTGGCCAGCAACTAAGCTGCTTGGACTCCTCAGAGCCGCATTGCATCCAACTTGTCTGATTACCGAGGGACGGAAAGTAAGCGGCAAGGCTGACTACACTAACTCCGTGTCTACTTTCAAGTCTAATTACCTGGCTGGATTAATCGATGCAGAGGTTTGTACGTATGTATCCAAAAGTCACTGGTGCACCACACATGGCGAATGAAACAGAACATCCCGGAAAAAAGACCTTAAGAAAATTCCACAATAAATATACATAAATAAGTCGGGTTCAACCTCCGTATGAGGCGGTGAACCGCCCCCCCTCCCGCCACCCGTTTATTGTCCTTTTCTCCCTTTCTGCACAGAGTTCCCCAGACAGTTCTCTGTGACATATATATATATATATATCGTCAAATAGTATATATATTGTCACATCACTACAAACTAAAAGAGCGCACTTTGCGGAACAAAGAATAAAAGCAAAAAACGGGCACAGTGATAACATGCAAAAATAAAAAGAAAAAGAAAAAACAAGGGCAGATTGAAACCATTAAATTTCTCATTCTTCTTTGAACTCCACCTCCACTGTGCCTCTCACGTGCAAGGCTCGCCACGTTGATGAAGTTGAGCGCGAGCTGCCCCCA